TCAAGTCGACACAAGTAAGTTCCGAATCGCGGCACGCAGCTTACTCTAGTGAGACAATGGATTAGCACCAACAGGGGATATCAACCGGCAACGGGTGGACAATTATTTAAATGATTAAAATCTGTGACGAACGTAAATACCTCGATCAAAATTATCTTTCTCTCGTATGTGGAAATCGCACGCAAAGCTCGGATGCGTGAAACTAGAGCGAATTTCGGAACGCCCAAATGAAAGAGAGCGGCGCATTGAGATGGTTTACAGGCAGGCTTATAGACCCATCGGTCCGAAAATAACACTTGGCACCTAGGGTCGAAAGTTGGCGAATTAAAGAGATAGCGAAACAATCGCGTTCACAGTCCAGAGGTTTTCCTCTCCGAAATAGAACGCACTAGGATTGAATGCGTCCATTCAAGGCGAATGAGGAAGTTCGGCGTGGCTCTAAGAGTAGTCCAACCAAACGATAACATGCCAAAAACAAAAGTGGCGTCCAAACAAATGGACAAAGCATCACAAATGCACTGTACTCCATTGATCGCAGGCTACCTAACCTTGACTAATCATCTGAATAATTGCCAAATCGTTCATTAATATCGACTCGCGAAAGTAGTACGACTGAGTGCAAAGTGGAGAATACGCTGTAGCGTTTTGAGAATTTCCACAGGGTAAAAGAAAGCAGGAGGTGGAGCTGAGTACCTGTATTTTCAGCGTGAACAGAGGAAGGAGTAGTACAAACAAGAACCTGCATTTACAACAAATCATATGACTTGCTTTTAGTAAAGAGATTGCAGTAGGTGTAGAAAACGTACTATTTGCCTCAAACCTATATATTATACTCCACTGTCACAAAGTTATGCCAATTGAGTGTTGATTCTTAAAGGACTATGCTAAGAATCCAGATAGTTGCACAATTAATTTTGTAAATGGGGAATGTAAATAAATGTTAGATGCAGGAGTCCTAAGCAATTCCTCTATAAGATAGCTGCAAAACATTAAAAAAAACTATTAGAAGAGATTTGACCCGATTTTACTTAGTAGTTTTAATTACCTTAGGGCTACTATAAAGCAGCGTGATTGTTTAAATTACTCGTTGATTGCACTTCGCCCTACTTGTTTGTTGACATGGGAGTGAGTATATTTCTGGGTCTTCCATCGGGGATGATTACGTGTCTTGATGCCTGTTTTTCGTTTAGGTTAGGGGAAATCGGAAGCATTTAAAGCGCCTAAATGCACCCAAGCACTGGATGCTTGACAAGTTGGGTGGCAACTTTGCTCCGCGACCCAGCACTGGTCCTCACAAACTGCGCGAGTGTCTTCCGCTTGCGATCTTTCTAAGAAATCGTCTCAAGTACGCTCTTACATATGATGAGTGTACGAAGATTCTCGCCCAGCGTCTTGTGAAGGTTGATGGACGCGTTCGTACTGATAAGAAATACCCTGCTGGGTTTATGGATGTTATCTCAATTGATCGCACGAATGAGCACTTTCGCCTAATTTACGATACGAAAAAGCGCTTTGCCATTCATCGTATCCATCCTGAAGAAGCTAAATACAAACTATGCAAAATTCGCAAGGTGTTAGTTGGTCCAGGCAAAGTTCCATATATTGTGACGCATGATGGTCGTACAATACGTTATGCAGACCCCGAAATCAAAGCCAATGACACTGTTCAAATCGACCTTGCCACTGGGAGGGTGCTCAGTTTTATCAAGTTTGAACCCGGTATGGTGAAATTTAATCACATAAGTTTTCCATCAGGTAACGTCTGTATGGTCACTGGAGGTCACAACTTGGGCCGCGTTGGTGTGATTACTCAGTGGGAGCGTCATCCTGGCTCCGTAGAGATGGTTCACGTCCGTGACAACACTGGTCATCAATTTGTCACTCGTTTGAACAACGTTTTTATCATTGGCAAGTCTAACAAAGCCTGGGTTTCGTTACCGAAGGGGAAGGGCATTCGTCTCTCCGTCTTGGAGGAGCGCGATCGTCGCCTAAGAGTAAAGAGGACTGGTCATTAAGATCGTCCAATTTTTTTTGAATATGTCGGTGGTTTGGCTTCGTATTTTTGCTTTGTAATGGGTTCTTTCCGTTTGGGGGATGGTATGATGTATGGAATTGATTGCTGCGATCTTCATACTTTCTAATTACGATCGTTACTCCCTTTGAGGTCTCATATTGGGTGTCAGATGTTGGCTTCCACATTTTGTACTTTAGTGTCTGTGCGTCGCCATCACTAATTAGGCTTTTAGTATTTAGCTCAAATTTTAAAGATGGTTTCTGTAGGTGTGCATTGAGGAGCAAACTTTCAGATGTTATCTGTGCGTGGTGTGTCTATCTTGGGGAGTTTTCATCGCCTAGTATGTCGTGTGTCGTTGTCCTTGCGTTTGCCATGTTCTCGTTTGGTTCGACTGTTCTCGGGTCT